CATTGCTATCCGAGATGATGACAGCAAAGGGGGAGCGCTGGAACAGCAACGGCAGCAAATATGGAGGGCTGGAACAGCGATGACAGCGGGTAAGGAGGGCTAGAACAGCAACGGGAGATGCGGTGGACAACTAGACAGCCAAAGGAGGGCTGTCCTGGGCAACAACAATAAGGAAAATGGCTGGACGACAAGGAAAACAATAAAAGGAGGTTGTTTTGGTCCGTCGCAACAGGGAAGGGGTGGTCGGGAGTGCTGCGGAAGGGGATACATGAGATAATCACCACCTTAGGAGTGAGATGCAACCAAAGCACCTCTCAAACCTTTGGATACAACTTTAAAAGGGAAAACAAAGATACCGTCGGCTGTTCCAACAAAAAACACAATAAAATTGAGGATCCAAACCCTAATACAGCACATATATAGGAGGAATGACAAAGGAAACTCTTTAAGAAAATAGAAAAAAATAAATAATGCCGCCAAGTTTGATCTTTCTACAATCACCGCCGCATAGCACCCCGCATCATTTACATCTCATACCTAAACTTTCATATTTATACATAGAGCACTCAAATCATTAATATCACAAAAAATAGTATTATTATTGCTTTTAAAAAATTAAATACACATTTTCATGCATAGATTTAAAACACTAAAGTGCTATGTAGGTAAATATCAAAGTGCAATATAAGAATTGTATGCTAGGTATTAAATTTCCCAAGAATTTTTCAACTATAACTAAGCTTCCTAAGCAAAGATAGGAGTTTCACGCCTTATTTTTTGAAAATCTATGGCTTTAGCAGAAGATCTGACTGCAGTAAAAGTCTTGCTTCGGCATCCATGAATACTGCAACCTATTGGTGGTGAAAATCTTCCATCTGGAAAAGCTCTTGTAATAACGGTTCCGCATTTAACACATGTAAAATCCATTTGCATGATTAGTGGCCTCACAGTACTAACTTTAACGACAGTGCCCCGTACAGAAACAAGCTTACCTGCGGCAATATAATTCGAAATCAAAAACTTTTTTCTTAACCAATAAAATAGGGAAAAAAAACTCCGACGCATGGAAACAGACACGTGAGCAATGACAAAACATGCACACGTGACACTTCTATTTTTAAAAATATACTCAGACAAAACATTATAATATAAATGGGCATTTATATACATCCCACCCAATTCTTATGTATTTACAAATCTAATACTCAAACTTTGTTTTTTACATTTATATCACACAAATTTTTCATATTATATTGAAAATGCTTTGATTTCCGGAGCTATTTATTTTTGAAGTTATTTTTTAACTTTTTAAATGTCATTTACATTCAACTTAGTCATTTGAATGGTTAAAACTATTCGTAACATCGGACTATCGGAAAAAGATTAGAAGCACTATTAGGTTAAAACATAGAAGTTTAGTGGAATCAGAATATTGAAACTAGATTCTTACAAACTTAGAGGGCGATGTGGATGCCTAAGAATTCTTGCAGGATTTGGACAACCTAACTATAATATGGGATTCCAACCTTCCCATGCATTGGTAAGATGAACATATGTAAAAATTGAAGTTTAGATGTTAGATATGTAAATACATAAGAATTGATGGGTATATATTTAAATCCTCCTAATATAAATTAACAAAAATTGATAAAAAGTAAATAAAAAGGATTTTAAAAACAATAAAGAAGAGATATTGAATAACATTAATTGTCGAAAGCTAAGGAATTCAAAAATATAATTTAATTTATGATATAAAAAAATAAACACTTGCCATCTTAAGTTTAATTTTAAATAAAAAATAAAATATTTCTTTAAATTTTAATCTTAAAAATATAGGTTTAAAAATATTTTTAAATTTTTTTAATTTATTAATTTAAGCACGTGTGTCCCTTTTTTTCTTAAATATTATTTAAATTAAACACTTCTATATTGTGCCGCTAAGTGTCGGAGCCATATAGGAGGCGTTTCCACGTTCAACACTGCACTGCGCTTTAATTAGAAGTGTTCGTGCATTATAAAAAAACATAAGTAGGTAACAAATGAAACCCAAAAAGAAAGCATACGACCAACCAATGTAAGCAGCTTTCAAACTTTTTAGTGTGATCAATGAATCAGGATGATTATAAAGCCTAATATTAATCTTCTCAGCCTCTGCAATGTGATGATCATTTCCCTTCAACAACAGAGCCTGCATACAAATTTCAAACAGAGATTCGTGTTAGGAATTTTCAAACCCAAAGGATGGTAAAAGAAATGGGGCATTTACCTACATAGCACATAAATGTTATGTATTTACATATCTCACACCTAAACTTTCATATTTACACACATTGCACTAAAATCTTTAATATCACATAAAAAATAGTGCTATTATCATTTTTTAATAGTGAAATACACCTTTTCATGCATAAGCTTAAAGCACCGAAGTGTTATGCGTATAAATATGAATGTTTAAGTGTGAGATATGTAAATGCATAAGAATTGTGTGCTAGGTATATAAATCTCCCAAGAAACATATACATAAAGTACCATATGAGCTGCGGCTCCCATGCATAAGAGTGACTCTTTGGGCACTTCCCTTAAGTTTGCATAAAACCCCTCTACTAAACATACTTTTTGAAGCTGCTGGAAGTCAACCGGCAGAAAGACACAACTATCATACTGAACCTGTATATGAATTTATATTAAACTAAATCATGATGCAGCTAGTAGTGCATGATAACAAATTCACAGTTCCATTAAAAGTGCAAAGGGGCATTTACATATATAACACAAATTCTTATGCATTTACATGTTTAACACCTAAATTTTGTTTTTTTTTTTACAGTCATAACAGCCAATTCTTTCATATCACATCAAAAATACCATTTTAGCTTTTATAAAGTCCAATACACTATTTCATGCGTAAGTAAGATAATATGTATGATTTAGATGTAGATATGTAAATACATAAGAATTGAGTGGTATGTACGTAAATCTTCCAAGTGTAAATTGAGAAAAATCAACCATTACCTTCAGAAAAGAAAGTAGTTCTTATTATTATTTATTTTTCAGATTAAACAATCAGCATTTAGTGATGAAAACATACCACACCATATAAAATTGAGTTGCAAAATTGAGGCCTTTTAGGATCGCTTTGTAATATTCTTCAGATTAAACAAGTTGTTCTTCTAGTTTCTTTTCTGATAATTATTATTTTTTGCCACCTATTGAATTATTATTAAGAATCCAATAATAGAATAAATTATTATTATTATTTGTTTATTCTTGGCGCGTGAATCAGAAACAGATTTAAATGATTCACTTTTGAGTTTGTCTAAGGAGTTAAAATTAATCATTTAATCAAGTTCCGTGTTGTCGAGTGTAACAACTTTCGGATCCTAGATGTGACAATAAAATGTTAGGATAAGAAAGTGATTTTCCTAATGATACAATATAAATGTTTACTGAGTCATAATCAATGTAAGAACCAAAATTTTGTTTTTTTTTTTTTCCCACTAGTAAGTCGAGCGGAGCCACCTTCTCTTCTCCTTCCTTCCGGCAATTGTTGCTTTGTCTTCTGGGTCACACAATGCGCGGGATCTCTTACTCTCGTTGTCATACGGCCTTCCTGATTCAGAGACTCGCGCAATCCCCCACAAGATCCCCTTTCTTTTCTTCCTTCCTATGAGTTTCCTCTTCGGTTTTCGCCTTCCCGAATTGCTCAACCGCACCGCCTCAGTAAGCCCTCCTTCCCATTTCTTTCCTTTTGTTTTCTATTGTAATGCAAAATTAAACACACTAACACGTCTAATAGTAGTAATAATAATAATAATTAATATAATTTTATAGCTAAATGTATTTTGGGTATAGAGCTTTTGAGCATCACCTACTTGTTACGTCATCGAGTGAAACTTACAAAAAGTCAGAAGTTTCATTTTTGCCACCTCAAAGTAACTAATTATTTTTTAGTATGGGATAAATGTATATTTCCTAGTTATGGGTTTTATTCTTACTGTTTGTATTATATTCAAAGTTATTTTATAGGATTGTCAGTCCAATCTTTGATATTTCATTTATTTATTTTTTCAATTATTATAGCTTCAATTATTGTTCATAACTAAGTAATTACTTACTCCATTATTGTACAACTCTCTGTGTATATGAATAAACCGTGCAATTAAAATGTTTTTCTTTTCTTGTAATTTACTTTTATGAATTACATGTAAATTTCTATCATATCACAAATCTATGTGAAGTAGCATTTTGCTTATATATTTCCTATGAAACAAATTTCATATGTTTTTGTGTCAGCTATGTAGGTCGGTTGAACCTTTTTAGATATTGATTAGTTAGGCTGACGGACCCACTGAATGATGACTCTATAAGAAATTGCCAGACTTTCTAGGGTTGATGTTTACCTTCCCAGTTTCACAGTATCTAATAATATTGATTATATAAATATAATTTAAACTAAAATTAAAAAATGAATGATTTCTAAGCCATACACCAGTAATAATTAGTGATTGCATATTTCATTAAACAGTTTGAATATACTCATATTATATTGATTTCGATTTATCCAGCATATTTTTGTCCGATAAAATTATAATTGTGCATATAGTAACTTTTTATTGTTCATACTACATCTCTCAATTCATTGTCATTTATACTATAATAAATAGTGGTTATATATTAGATTTGATTTGTTATGCTTACCAGTTAATATTTTTGTCTAACAGTTCTCTTAAACCTCTTACAGGATTATCCTCACAGATGCAAACATTTCAATTCTAAATTCATTTTTGATATTTCAATATTAGCTTTAGTTATTCTATTTCCTCTTTTAAGTATTTGGTTGGTGTTTCCCCTATTAACATTTTTAGTTTTGTTTCAGTCAATTTTTTTTTAGTTGTTCCGGTTGGACTTTTATTTATAAAATAAATCAAAACTTTTTTTTTGTTGACATTTACATATAATCTTTTATTTTGATAATACAAAATATATGCAATTCATTTCATTATATTTGTCTTCCAGGCTCGGGTTTGACATCAAAAGATTCAACACGTATCCATGGGAAAATGAAATGCAAATAATAACAATCAGAAACCCTAATTTGGTCACTAAACTTAAAACCCTAGCCCCTGCGCTAATAGAGACGGAGATAAAATGCGAGGAGGGGGAATGAGGACTTACGTTAGAGAGGATGGAATCCGCTTTCAGGGATGAGAAGAAGTCCGCCAGCTCGGCCAAAAGCTTGTACCTCCTGTCATCTATAGCAAAATCCGCCTCCGGGAAATAAAATGGCCAGATATCTGCCGCAGTGTCGGCGTACACGTTGCGGTCCAGTGCGCGGCCCTCCTCCGCTGCGTACATCTAGAGCTCGGCAATGGCGGAAGTGTCAGACAAGAAAAACTCCGGGAGAACGGGGAGCAATGGCTGGGCGATGATGAGAACGAAGGAGGCGGCAGCAGCTCGGCTTCGAAGAGAGAGACATGCCTTCGCGCCCTCTCGAAAAGTGGAGAAATATTTGATAGGTTACACTTCGCGGTAAGAATCCCAATCGTATAATCCTGAAAAATTATGCCGTACCCGAACCTAAATTTTCTGATCTAATATATTTTGGTGGGCCCCATAGAAATTTAAAAAAAATGGAAATAATCTTGTCCCTGATCTACGGTCAGGATCGGATATGCGGTGTCCGCACGCGATAATCCCTCATAATCT